GTTAGAGGAAGGACGCGAGAAGGTAGTGGAGGAGGAGAAGCTAGGAGGGGGGAGAGGAGGAGGTAGAGGAGCGTAGACGGAGGTGCAGGTGGTGGTTGAGGGAGGAGGGAAGAGGAGGAGGGAGAATGTGATGGAGTGAGGTAGGAGAGGATGAGGTTAGGCCGCCGTCCTCTACCTCCTCCCTTCCTCTACCTCCTCTCCTCTCCCCTCCTTCTCTCTCCTCCTCCTCTACCTTCTCCCCCTCCTCCTTCTTCCTCCCACCTTTCTCCTTCACCGTCTTATTCCCTCTCCTCTTTCACCTCTTTACCTCCTGCTTCTCTTCCTCCTCCTATACTCCTCCTCCTCCTCCTCCTCCTCCTCCCCTTCCTCCATTCCTCTTTCTCCTCTCCTCTCCTCCACATTTCCTTCTCCCCCTTCTCCTCCATCACTCTCGGCCATCTCGCTACCTCCTCCCTTCTTCTACCTTCTTCTCCTGCGCACCTTCTCATCCTCCGCCCCTGCTTCTCCACCACCTTTCTATCCCACGCTTCTCCCCTCCTCCTCCTCTACCTCCTTCTCCTCCTCCTCCTTCCTCTCCTCCTTCTTCTCCTCCACTTCCTGCCTCTTCTCCTCTTCTCTTCCTCTCCTCCTCCTCCAGCCTTTCTCCATGCCTCTTCTCCTTCTCCACCTTCTCCCCTCCTCCTCCACCTACCTTATACTCCCCACGCTTTCTCCCACATCCCTCCTCCTCTCATGTTCCTCCATCTCCTTTTCCTCCGCCTCCTCCACCTTTCTCCCCTCCTCCTCCTCTACCTTCTCCCCCTCCTCTCTCTCCACCACCTTCTCCTTCACGTATCTTTCCCTCTCCTCCTCCTCCTTCCTCCTCCTCTACCTCCTATCTTCCTTCCTCCTCTTCCGCCTCCTCCTCCTCTCCTCCTCCCCTTCCTTCTCCTCCTCCTCCTCCTTTCTGCCCCCTCCTCCACCTTCCTCCCCTTCCTCCTCCTCCCCACCTTTTTCCCACGTTTCTCCCCCTCCTCCTCTCCACCAGCCTTCTTCCCCCTCCTCGACCTCCTCCCTGCTTATCACATGTTCACGTGATAATAAACACCAAGTGTATGTAATAGTCTCGGGGGGGTAAATGTTTCTGGGTGTAAATGTCCGGGGGGAAAATGTCCGGGGGTAATTGTCCGGAGGTAAAATTGTCGGGGGTAATTGTCTGGGGGGTGCATGTCCGGGGGTAAATTGTCGCGGCGGGCGTGAATGGCATTGGGGGGGTAATGTCCGGGAGGTAATTGTCCAGGGCGTAATTGTCCGGGGGGTAATTGTATTGGGGGTATTTGATGATTCGCTCACTGGCTCGCTGGTCTAGAACCAGTTGTATGTATATTATATTATATTATTATTATATATATATATATATATATATATATATATACACATATATGGTGTACAAAAACTTACCGTTCTTCTTCTGATGTTGTTGAATTCATGGTTGGATAAGTCGTCTGGTAGGCTCCGATAACGGTGCCCTACCTTCTGACTTTGCTTGTTTTCGACAGATGACTCGGTTAATGAGGAACCTATGCCAGCGCATGCTGCACACTACGATGGTATGCCTTCTGTCATCGCCGCGTCTTCAGCATGACCACCTCTGTTTCCCTGCCTGGTCGTCGCGTCGTCTGCTGATAACATTACCTGAACTGTTAATTCATATACGTTGAACGACGCTGTCTCGTCTCTGAGGGGCCAGCGCGTCGTACGCTAGGCAACAACGACCCGGCGCTGAGTGCGCTAGCCGCTTTGATAGGGATGCGAGAGTGTGCGTGTTTGCATACGCCAGAGCTGGCCGAGTTTACACACGACTGCTGTGGCCGGACGTCCGTGCTGAGATTGCAAGTCGACGCGGTGCGTTTCGCTGCGGTATCGTTCACTCTTCAGTGACCTTGCGACCCGTCCATCACGCGTTTCGTGTTTCAGCGCAACGTGTCGTGACCCGGAAGCGACGCGTTAGCTTCCGTCTCCGCATCCGGGCCAAGGTTAGGATTCACGCTTGCTCACACGGCGCAAATCTGGGGAAGCAGACGCGAGCCGGAGTGAAGCGTTCCAACCGATTGACGAAATGCGATGAAGTCTTAGCATCGTGCTAGCGTAGGATGACGGTTGTTCGGCGTTGCCTCGGTTTCTCGAGATGTTTGCTAGCATCTGCCAACGGAGGATGCAAGATGCAATGATGGAAGCTCTGGACAAACGCGAAGCGGCACGGGCATGGAACGTGCCAGCGGCGGCAGGCGCCTGCCGCGCATAGCTTGAGATGACATTGTTGGTAGGTAAAAGCTCAGCGGCGGATCTGCGCTGCTCGGCAAAGAGGTGGTGGCGACGCCGTTTACCTGGTGCTACCTGCAGTCGTTCAATATGATTGCCACGGCCGACGCCTGCCTGCCCACGGACGGCACTATGTACCTGGGTGTATGTACACGGAGGGCTAGAACAAACAATTGCTCGTTGCTTGCGACGAATAGCGCGGGCATTGTTGCTTGCGTGTGTAGCATGTTCGCACGCGCTTCAGTGCGTACGTGCTCGCACGTGGCGTCAGCGTTTAGTCGCTCGTGTGTTTGTTTGGGCGTGTGTTGACCGTGTAGGGTAATAATTGAATGCTTATTGATGTTCGTTTTCTGCATTTTATCGGCCATTTTCGGTCTGTGCAACAGAAAGGTCAAACATTACATAGAATACATGATATTACTCACGGTATGCGCAAACGCACATTAAATAGATTAGATAGCATACATACATACAACGTACACACGTACATACGTGCATACGTGCAACGTACATACGTTACAAACGCTACATCACGAACATAATATACGTACATACGTACATATACGTATCATAGTACATATACATACATTCATAAACGAGTACATACTACATATCATTACATACATACATTATCATACATACATACATACATACATACATACATACATACATTACAGTAATACATTATCATACGTACATACGTACATACGTACATACGTACAAATATGGTAACATGACGTACTATACGTTACGCTACGATATGCTACGTACGCACAATTCTACGTATACGTACGTCATTACGTACATACGTTACATACGTAATCATACGTATCATACGTTACAATACATACATACGTACATACGGACATACGGACATACGGACATACGGACATACGGACATACGGACATACGGACATACGGACATACATTTACATACCGTACTCCTTACATAACATACATACATACGACATTACGTACATAACGACAACTACATACGTACCTACATACATTATCATACATAACATACATACATACATACATACATACATACATACATACATAATACATTTACATACATACATACATACATACTATAATACATTACATACATTACATACATACAATACATACATACATACATAAGCATCACATACATTACTACATACATTACATTACATACATACATACATACAAATACATACTATCATAACTACATACATACATACATACATTAACGATTACATACATACATGCATAGATACATACATACATAATCATACATACATACATACTACATACATACATCACATACATTACATTACATTACATACATACATACATACATATACATTACATACATCATACATAACAATACATAGCATACATACATTTACATTACATACATACATACATACATACTATACATACATACATACATACACTACCATACATACAATACCATACACTACCATACATCATACATACATACATACATACATTCATACATTTAATACATTAATTCATAATACTTACATACATACATACGATACATACATAGCATACAT